TCACTGAAAAAAACTCATCATTGACTATTCCTAAAAGTTAGAATGCTGTTTCTAGCTTCTTCTAAAAATGATTATCCTTTGTATAGTTAGCCTTTCCAAGTCATTAAATGCAGTCATTCACCTGCATTTAAACTAAGCAATAATTCAGTACATAAGTTTGCATTTGGGTTTGGGGATCTTTCCTTGAATATATTTCCTTTTTTTCCAGAAGCAATATAAAAACAATTGTCCCAGACTAAAATAAATCAACAGTTCCTCTAAGTAAATAGTGTAGTTCTCTGAGATATGTGAATTCTAAAAGAGTCAAGGGTTTCATGCACTAAATAAACATAGAAAAGAACCAACAACATATTTTTGATCTGAACTACAGAAGCTGCAAGGGAAGCTGGAATTACACTGAAGAGCCATACACCCTTGCAAAGAAATGGGACTCTGACAGGAGATCCTTAGGGATATAGAATAAAGTGATGCCTTGCTATTGTCAGGAACTAATACACTGTTTGGAATTCAATAAATGTTTGTTGAAATAATAAAGAATGACTTTTGATATGGCAGTTAATAGTAATCGTGCATAGCACAAAAAAAAAATGCTACAGATGAATAAAGTTAACTATGAAGTCCTACAAAAGTTTTCCAGTAGGTTGAAACTTATGTAGTTGTAATGGCTCATGGATTTTGCAGAATACTGAGGAAATTAAATGGTAAAAACAATTAAAATGAGTTTGTAAAATTAAAGCATAAGAAATGAGTTTATCATATGTTATGTGATGGTTTTTTAATTCAGAACTACTTAAAATTGTTTCTTTGATGATATATATATTATATATAATGTATATTTTTACATATATGTTCCTATATATATTTCTAACAGTAAATAAAATGAGTCTATAGTCTATATATGAGCAGGTAAAAAACATAATGTAATTTATTCCTAACAAACTGATTTTCTAATGTATGAATGGTGTAAGTCAATGACAATATCAAAAAACTGAGATTTTGAGAATATATAACTATTTAATATATAAAGCAATGAATTTATAGCATGGAAGATCGATTTAAATTTGGGGGGAGTTTTCCTTAAAAGATATGGTTTTGTGGTCAGTGGAAAAATGGTTTTTACAGCAGTCCCTGAATTAGCAAGTAGAGAAATGGTTTAAAAATGTTTAGTTTCCTAGGATAGCAGCTGAGAGCAGGGTTGGTGGGACCCTGAGTAAAATAAACAGACAGTAAGGAAGGAGAAGAGACTAGCGGAGGAGGAGGAGAGGAGCTAGTGTTAGTGGCTCACCAGTTAGACATGGCTAGAGGACATGAAAGAACAAGAGTGTCTGATCTTGAGTTAGAATTATTAGTATGCAGTCTTGAAAAAATAAACCTTGTCTTTGTCTTCAGACTTTCAAAGTTTGGTACAGACATAGCCTTTTTATTACAATTAAAAATATTTTGATACATACTATAGTAAAGAAAGCTGCAGATGGACAACTGTTGATTTTTCATACACATTGCTTCAATATTCTTTAAAAAATTGTTATTATGGTAAATTTCAATAACATAAAAATGTAGAGATTAATATAATTAAGTTACCATGTAACTTAAACAATGATCAATTCACTTTTAATTTTGTTTTTTAAATATACCTCATCCTTTGCTGCCCGCTTGTCCTGATTATTTTGAAACAAATGCCTAAAATCTTATCATTGTAGTCATAAATATTTCAATGTCCTTCTTCAAAATACAATAAAAATCCCACATTTCCATTATCACACATAAATTTTACCAAAAATTTCTTTTCATAATCATCTAGTCAGTGTTCAAATATTTTCCTGATTGTCTCAAAAATGTTTTCAAATGTTTTTTAAATGGAGAACACTAGTCCCTCTCTTCTCCTTCCTTACTGTCTGTTTATTTTACTCTGGGTCCCACCAACCCTTCTCTCAGCTGCTATCCTAGGAAACTAAACATTTTTAAACCATTTCTCTACTTGCTAATTCAGGGACTGCCCTAAAAACCATTCTTCCACTGACCACAAAACCGTATCTTTTAAGGAAATTGCAATTGATTGATATATAGTTTAAATTTCTTTTACTCTAAAGCTTTCTACCTCTCATTCTCTTTCTCCTATAAATTTATATGTTTATGAAATGGATTATTTATCCTATAGAGTTTAGATTTTGCATCACTGGAAGATAATAAAAAATTTTGAATTTTGCCGATTAGATGAGAAACTGTATCTCAATTTTATCTCATTATGTATGAGCATCTTTTCACATATTTGAGAGCCTCATGCATATATTTCTTTTTCTATGATTTTGCTATTCATATTGCTTGTCCATTATTCTATTGTGTTATTTTCTTCCCTATTTTTAGAAGCCCTTTAAATATTAAAGATATCAATTCTTTGTGACATAAATTGCAAGTGTTTTTGCCCTAGTTTGTCATTTGTCTTTTTACTTTGCTGTGATGGTTGTATGTATGTGTGTGTGTTTGTGCATGTCTTGATATATCAAATAAAATTTTATTTTTATATAGTCAAAGTTATCAATCTTTTTCCTTTTTTGCACTTAGAATTTTAGTTACTGGTGAAACATTTCACCTGTCCTAGGTTATAGAAGAATCTGCCCAGGTAGGATTTTGCTGGTAGTATTCTGGGAATTAAGTAATTACTTTGGTGGAATAATATGATATAAAATAGAAATAGTATTCACAATAAGTGAGACATACAGCAGAGACAGAAAACTTGGGGAAACTGAAAATTAAAAAGTAATTCATATAAACAGTAAGCCCATGGAAAAATATCCATATCTATAAGGACACTGAAGTTTCTTCTCCAAGAAGGGGGATAAAACCACTTTTATTTGAGGATCACAGCAAAGAGTATTTCCAGAAAGCTGGAGGCCTGAGGCTTGGATACACTCAAAGAAGTAGACAACTGGGTTACATGTTGCCATGTGCAATATAATTGTTCATAGCACTTTTCCATGGCCTAACCACTTTACCACTGAGGTGAAGTGACAAATAGACTATTAATTTAGACTGTACCTAAATAATAGCATATTAAGAGGGAAAAAGTATTAGATAAATGAAAGTATTATTTTAAAAAATAATGTTAAACACTCACTTTGTAACATGACATGTAAGTTAGACTATATTTAGATCAGGATCAAGCCAGGTAACTCTGTGGTGCTAATAGCATGACTACTGATTTGGCTTTCTTTTGGTTCCAATCTAACTTAATGATAGGTATGTGGTTATGAAACTATGTTACCTAAGTGAGCTTAAGTGCATTCACTACTAATATAGTCAAAATTCCTTTCAAAATTATAGTCAAAATTTTCCCTAAAATTATGCATTATAAGCACATATTAATATAGTTAGCATCAAGCACACCTATCATCTTACTGTTCATGATGAAGACAATAAAAAATAATCTGAGTTTCAAAGTTTCATTTGAAAATAGTATGATTTTTCACTGATGCACATGAGATACAACAAATCTCCTCCACACGAAATATATCAAGTTATGGTGATTCAAAACAGAATCTACAAGAACATTTACCTTGAAAAATACACTAAGGGATAACTATTACCTCAGCTAATCCTATGTAGCTTCCTCTCTTCTCCTTTGTTCTGTTGAGTAAAGGGCATGTTAACTCTTGAAAACAGAAGGTTTTGAAGGATTCCAGCCATAATTAATTAATGTCTGCTATGTTGGATGCTGTATAGTGTAAAGAGCCTGGCTCAAATCTCTCTTCTAGAGTCAAGTTGATTTTTCTCTTTGAGTTTTCCTTTCTTCTTAAAATTTTAGTTTTATTGTGGTATAATTAACAAATAAAACTTTAAGTCATTTAAAGCATATAAAGCATATATCATGGTGATTGATACATGTATACATTGTGAAAGGAAACCCCCACCCTGTGTCTACTTAATCCATCACCTCACATATTTATTTATTTGTTTGTTTGTTTGTTTGGTGATAAGTTCTATTCTCTCAGCAAATTTCAATTATACAATACAATGCTATCAATTACATTTCTTTATTTGTTCATTGAATTTGATAAACACTGTCTGCCTTCTAGGAACTTTTTAGAAATAAGCCTACTTGTGTAAGTAAGTTCCTACCACTTGCTGACAATATAATAGATGTTCAATAAACAGCAATTCTCTCTCCAGCACCTTTTCCTGTCTTCTATATATAAAACCTAATGATACAGAAAAATTATGTATTTGCCTTGAGATTCTAGGGAAGAATAGCTTTTCCTTGGATAAGGTCAGTGTATGTCAAACACTATCCCAAGAAACTGAGCTACATCTCTTAACCTTTTCCAGTTTATAAAATATCTTTTTGGATTGCCAAAATGAACTGGGATATTTATTGGCTCCTTTAAAGCATGAGTTATTAGGTTAATTTAAGAGCTCAAGTATTTTAGTGGACATTCATCAGTTGGATTAGCAACATCTCTACTAACCAGTAGAATTTTTTATAACATTACCTGGCTCTGTTATTAGCCTCTACTAGGAGTACTGGAGGATTAGGGGTGGATAATTAAAAGTTAACAATAAAAAAAACAGTGAAGATGGCTCTTCTGATGGATGTAAAAATTGACGTTTCTTTCAAGGCTGCTGGAAGCTCTGGTTCATTCTGCATGACAATGTCTGACTGTGAGTATCCACATAAAAATGCCCAGGTAGAAGCCAAGGACAGGCCACCCCAAAATGTGCCACACTTTGACATGCAGATTATTGGAGCTGAAAACTTTGACCTTCCCCTTAACTGTATAAAAACAATTTAGATGGAAGCCCTGCTCCAGAAAAGAGCTTTCACCATAGACAACTACATTAAAACATGAACTAGGTATGGTAAACAGGGAGGAGCCCAGCAAGGCCAGTTTGATCAAACTCCTCTCTAATTTTCTCTTGTTAATCTGTGTCATATCAATTTAATTCTTAAACCAGCTAGAAGAACCTTGATGGAGAGAGAAATATTTTTCCTCTGCAACACTCACCTTCCACAGTGTGCTCAAAGCCATTCGGTGAGTTACAAATATTGATCTGGGTTGATCTGGAGATTTCTTTGACATAATCTAAAAAGAAAAAGCAGATTTTTGATGAAATGAATTAAGAAGTGAATATTCAGAGAATATTTAGAGACAATTATTAGCAAATATTTTAAATGGTGGTTTTTTTTTTATAAATGAATCCTTTCTCATTAAATTAGGTTTTGAAGGACCTTTACTTGAAATCCTCTTGTTAACAGTCAGACAGTAGTCTTCATTTTAGCCATTTCATTGATCACCATAGAATTAAACCCTCAAATTAGTCTGGATCAGTGTGGACTTACATTACAAACCATAAAAGTTGGTCTATAGGTATAACAGACATGGCTAAAGAAATTAACACTTCAAAACACTATCAAATTAGTGAACTACTTTAGGGAAGATTAACCTATAGTGAGGATGTGAAACTAAATTAAATTCCAGTTAAATACAAATATTTTTCTTCACATACTGAGTCATCTGATTCAGACTCCACAGGGTGCAGTGTTACCTTGCTTGGTGAACTGCATAATTATTTATAGATTTTCTCCACATTAAGCTCACCCCTTATCTAACTTTACACAGGCAGTCTAGTTATTGACTTGTAGAGATACCCTGATGTATAATATGGTCCCACATGGTAGGTCAGGGCCCAGCTGCCCCTTTTTCCATTCTTTGTTGATGGTTTGAAAATATCAGGACAGTGACTGCATGCCACATTGGTTTTATAATTCCTAATCTAATGTTTCTATAGGGGGCTCTAATACCATTAATGTGTAGAAAACAAAGAGATAAATGTTACTTATTATTGAGAATGGAGGTTCAAGGACTTATTGTGAAGATTTGAACTTACTAATGGAATTCTAAAACTAGGTTGTAAGAAATAGTCTTCTCTTGATGAAGCATTAATGATAAATAATAAGCCTTCAGGAGGCTAAAATACTTAACACTCAAAGACATTTCAATTTGAAGCATTTTATGAATATGAACGAATGGAATGCAAATTGTATTTCTCATAGGGTACAATATTAGTTCTATGATGAAACTGATTCGTTGTTAATAGAGTAAAATCTTAAGTTCTAAAAGTAACAGTTTGTGTGTATATGCTTTAAAGAGAATAATTTTTGACTTACTTCATGTATATGGTTGACTTTAGGCCAATTAGATGTGCTTTAGAATAGAGCAAAAGAAAAACTTCACATAAACATACTGGTGAGATCATCATCTTACTGCTCAATGTAGAAACAAATAGGAAAAGAGAAGGAAGTGATAGTGGTGTCATCTAAAGGAAGGCCTCCTGGAGCAAGACAGAACCATAGGAAGTCCAGATTAAGTCACCCACTCTCTTAGAATGCAATAACATTACCTAAATGTAGCCTTAAAAAATTCCTTAGGATAATAAGCATGCATAAAAGTCTGAGCGATAGATGCCAGAATGTCAATGTGTTGGTTTACAGCTAAACTTGGGCAATCACATGGGGCAAGAATACACCATTTTATTCTAATATTATATTCTCTCTCCATGGTCAAACTACACAGGTAACTAACTCAAAATCAGGAAGTTATTTCAGAGTAGAATCTCAATAAGAGGACTCAAATGAATTAAATATAGAATTGCCTCATTGTAAGGTGGCTTAACACACCCTTCTTACAAAGTAAGAGGTTTACCGATGGCACCAGAAGTCAGTAAACTCCATAAACTGTCACTACCTTCATCATCTCCACTGGAGGAATATCCCTGCCACATTGATTGGAAATATCTGATGGCTGAGGGCTAAGTCTTTCTCTACCCAACATAGCACCTGAATAGACACTACTAAATCTACCTGTATGACTCTTTTTTATTTCTATGAGGACCAACTGCTGCCTTCCTGATGGACATAGACTGTTTGAATGTGTGTGTGTGCACGTGTGCACACGTGTGTATAATTGGACTAGATTTAAGCCTGACTCTGCTTACCTCTTCTCTGATTCATTAGTTGTTGCTTTTACAATTTACTTCTCCATGGACAAGTTCATTTTATTTGTTTCCAAAACCCTTGAGGGACATCTCTGTGTACTCTCATGCTTATTAAGAAATGTCATGCACTTTCTCTTACCTAAAAAAAAAGGATACGTGGCCTTGGCATAACAATTCTGACAACTAATAAAACTGTTCTACTTCTTCAAGTAATGAAGTCTTTTTAGTACTGCTAAGCAAATTTCTATTTGATGGTGCAATGAATTAGTATAATGAATAATTTGAATTATCTGTTGTTGTAACTATCTGTTGAATGGTTTATAGCATCTGAACAACACCCATAGAAATCCTGTATTCATCATCATATGAGCTAACAATGGCATCAGGGAAAGCAAATTTGAGATTTGTCTCCAAGTTTAGGCACCATATTATTTCCACTTTGCCCTTGCCTTGGTTTGTTTTGGATACTATGATTTAAGCATTATAACATCATTATGAAAACATTTTAAAAAAAGCTACCTTCTTATTGCACATAAAAGAAAAATGGGGTTTTAACCAGTGAAAACAAACTATCGCATCTAATTTTTTGACCTCTAAATTTTTGCTCCTGGGATTTGTTGAAAGTGTCACTAGCTAGTGCTGAGTAACACTGCATGACGAGGGCTTGGGTACAGCACTCGGAACTACTGCGCGACATTTACTTCAGCAGGAGTGACTCTGCTTTCCAGATTCTATTAGAAAATCAATTCAGTTGCTAAAAACAGTACTCCATCTTAAGCATTTCTCAAGACATTAGTCAATCCCTTTGCTTAAAGCTGATTTCTTTTTGGGAAATATCAGCACTTTAGAAGCTGCCTTACTGAAACCACAATGCTGGCTGGCAATAGCATGCTTTCTAGCACTACTTCCAAAATAGCAGAGTCTTGGGACTAGGACCTAACAGATGTAGATTTTAATCCTGATAAACTATGTGATTTCCAATAATTTAATCCTTGTCCATTGGCCTCTGTTAGAGATTGAATTGTACCCTTTCAAAATTCATATGTTGAAGTCCTAAGACCCCACAACCTTCGAATATAATGTTATTAGAGATAAGGTCTTTATATAGGTAATCAAGCTAAAAAATAAAGTCATGAGGGTGGACCCTCATCCAATATGATGGGTATCCTTATAATAAGAGGATATTTGGATCCAGACATACAGGGAGAACTATGTAAACATAAAAGCAGTCATCTACAAGTCAAGGACAGAGGCCTGATCATCTTTCCCTCACAGCTCTCAGAAGGAACTGACCCTGCCAACAACTTGATTTTAGACTTCCAGCCTCTATAACTTTAAGAGAGTTATTGCAGCCCCAGCAAACTAATATAGCCTCTTATGCCAAAAGGTGATAGTGAAATCTCTCTGTAACAGCCTCCAGATCATTATTATTTCTCTTGTGTACTAATGAAATCATTCTTCTATTTCTATGTTGTTACAATCATATTTCACACCCCCACAGCTGGTACACAGGGCCTTTCATGGTCTTCTGCAAAGCCTCCTTTTCAGGCAGCCTCTTAACCCCCAAATATAACACTGTTGTCCATTTCCTCCTTGGAGAGTCTTGTCCTTTCCTTTAGTTGGAGACATTGAGACCATGTATAAGGGAATTGTGGAACAGGAGCCTGGACAGGGCTGGAGAAAATTAAAAGGGAAAGAAGATGGGAAATGGGAAGATGAAAGAAAAAATGGAAAATTCACATCATTCCTATGTAAAAATTTTTTGATTAATGTTTTAGCTCAAACAAAATAAATTTGAAGTTTTATGTATTCAGATTTCTTGTTTTGTCTGGTGTTGTTAAAACTTTTCCAAACTTCTAGTGGCATGAGTGGTTGCTTTGCAAAACATTTTAAAGTTAAATTGCAGAATTTCATATATGGAGGCAGATAATTAAATGAAGCCTTTCTATATGTCCAGGCAAGACTAGCCAGTTTTCCTCATCATTGACACAGTACACTGTCTAAACCTCTTCTCCATCATGCATTACAGGAGGCACAGAGTCCTCTACCTCACAAGACTTTCAGCTATTTGAGGTCAAAGACTGTGTCTTAATCATTTCTTTCAAGTCACAATACATAGCATAGTACCTGACACTTGATAGGTAACAAAACAACAAAAAGTGTATGGAGTGACTTTAAGCTCATTTAGGTCTTAATTTCTTCTCTTGAAATTTGCACTGGTTCTCCTCTAGAACTATTATGGTCAAAGTATGAAACAACATAAACTATTAATTTGTACCATTTTGGAAACAGAATATAATTTTTTAAGAAATTTAAGTTACAGTATGGTATTATCATATACCAGTTGGACAATCCAAAATGTCTTGTAATGTTCAAATATTGCTGCAAAACTATCTTAAAATAATAGAGATTTCCGCTACTGCTTATCTATGGTAATGTCCACAAAAGAAGCAGCCTGATTACAAGTCAATCCCTTCTTTTGGGGGCTCATATTTGAAACCATTGTTTTCTTTTTCCATAACAACCCTAAAGGTTCCACTTTCAGCTGACACCTGTGGGTGACTGCCCACTCTGAGATACCTTTATCACCACCATCAGCCAGATATGCCATTATTAATTTGTTTGTACCATCTAAATGCACCTTCCAAATCGGTCTAGCCATTATCCTGTGATCCAGTAGCCAATATAGACAAAAACTTGATTTTACTAGATGAAGATGATAACTGAATTTACTTAGGAAAAGTTTTTTCACAAACTATCAAATCCTTTATATTTAGCATTTTGTGACAATGCATTTGGACTTGCAGGAGACCCAGCTTACATATAATTATATAAAAAATGAAATGATTATCAACAGCAAAAAGACTTGGAGAACAGGCCAAAAGATAGGGTTAGGGCAGATGAAAAGGGTGGAGTCGGTAATTGGAAAAAAGAAAACAAAAATGGTAGAGCTACTAATTCACCCAGGTCCTGTGCATGTATTTCTTGACTGCTCAAATGAAAATTGAATTATGGGGGATTTTATATAGAAGCAAAAAACCCTCCAAACTTTAGCAGCTTAATTGGTAGCTTTTAAAAAACTATAAGTTCTAAAATTACAAGTCCAGATTCTACTTAATAGAGCCATTTTAGTACTTCTAGAACCTATTATTTTAAGTTTTAACATATTTTCCTGGACAAAGTAAAAGATTAAGGTAACATAATTAGGCTCCTGAGTCAGCCTTGGCATTCTTCACCTTGCCCAGATGTATATGATTACATTTTCTATTATGTGAACCATGCAGACATATGGTATTTTCATCAAAAAGCGATGAAAGAAAACATCATTATGAAAGTTGAAAATATTGCCTAACCTTAGGAAACAGGTTTCTGAGAGCAGAAACTTTTTTCTGCTTGGCTGCTCAGCAGTCTAAGTATAATATGTGTGTGTAGAGTGTTGAGGGGTGGGGTATGGTTGGAGAGCAAGTACGAAAACAAATAAGCCAAAAATTTGCAACTCAAAAGATTTGGTCAAATTCTAGATGGTTTTTGAATTATTAACAAAAACAGGGGGAAAAAATGAGTGATGAATGTAGAAATTAATCAATTTTACTTCTGGAATACTTTGGCAAATTGCAAAGCTAAAATAGCTTGCTCATCCTCCAATATTTTTGGACTTCACTCTTAACTGGAAATTAGACTGAAGACTGTGCAGTTGTTTTCCTATCTGTATTTTGAGAAAAGGTAGGCTTAAATTCCTTCCTCTACCTAATGAGTTAGGAATATAAGATAGCGGCCAGTAGGTCCCATAGTGAAGATGGGAATTCAGCATCAACTAGGCATAAGCGCTTTCTGAGCTGAGGACCAAGTATATACATTTGGTTGGATGAAGAATTACTGTATTCTTATAAAATATTTGCTCTCCTTTTGAGGATTTTAGCATATGCTAGTGTAACTCAGGGGAGAAAATGGGTTCCCAGCCTGGAGGAAATAAACCTTTGAAACTGAAATCAGTGAAAGGGAAAAGTAAGGTGGGAGAAATCCGTTTATTGCTTACAAGCAGTCGTCTATTCCTGCTTGCCTGTGTCTCTCACAATCCGGCTGCAAAAGGCCCCCCCAAACCTCTCTGATCCAGGTGCATCTCACTCTCCACCCTCCTTGTAATCACCTATTGATATGGAGATGGCTACTACTCTCCATCCCTTGGAAACACATACTGATAAGGAGGTAGCTAAAACTAGGCAAGAGATTCTGGAAATATTGCAATTTTACCCCAAGTATCAGCATACATACTCACATTCTAAAAACAGCAAAGCATAGGATTTTAAAAATCAAAACATGTAAATAATCAAATGAGT